GCTTTTTAGACTAGGCCTTACTTCAACTAAAATAAGTGGGGGGATCATCTGTAATTTCATTCCACTGACAAGAAGGTAGTGGAAAAGAGAGACACACTAGATTACTAGTAGTCTAGTACATCTCTTCTCAGACTTGAACGTGTATAAAATCCCTAGGTGATTCAGTTAAAATGCAGACTTTGACTTTAGGTCTGAATTAAAAACTTCCAGAGATAAAAGACAAAATGAAAAGAAAAACCCAAACCAGAAGAAGATATTTGCAATGTATATAACAGACAAAGAATATATCAAGAATATGCAAAGAACATTACCAAACAACAAGAAACACAAACAGCCCAACAGAAAAATTACAAAGCCTAGGAAGAGGCAATTTATGAAGGAGAAAATTCTCAAGTCAATAAACATATGAAGTGCAACTTCACAAGTAATCAGGGGAATGCAAATTATATTCAAAACAAGATAGCATTCAATCAGGAATCTGAGGTTTGGAATTTAGCTCAAAAAATATTTCCTCTCCATAGTTCTTTTTTTTTTTTCACCAAATTAATTTATTTTAATAAGGAACTAAATTTTCACAGGTCCAATAAGCAATTTAGAAGTTTTTCCAATCAACCAACAAGAATCCTTTATAGCCTACTAGTATGTCCAAAATTAACCAAGGAGATATAGAAATGGGAATAAGCACTTGAAGACATTCAACAACATTAGCCACTAAAGATATGAAAGTTAAACCTACAATTAGATATTACTAAATACCTGTCAGGATAAAAAAAGAGAAAAGAACGAAAGAAAGAAAAAGAAAAAATAAATAGTGACAACATCAAATAATGCAAGGATGTAGAGAAACTGCATCACTCACTGGTAGGAATACAAAGTAGTACAACTACCCTGGAAATAACTTGTCAGTTTCTATAAAATTATACCTGCAATTAGCCTATAATCCAGCAATTGTACCCTTTGACATTTATTCCAGAGAAGTGAAATCTTAAGTTTACATGAGATGAATATCTATAGCAGCTTTATTCATGACAGCTAAAAGGTGAAAACAATCTAAATGTTCAACAGGTAAATCATAAACAAATTACATCCATACATAGAAAGCTACTTGGCAATAAAAAGAAACTTTTGATACAAAGATGAATCTTGGATGAATCTCCAGAGAACTAAGTTGAGTGAAAAAAGTCACTCCAATGTAAGATAGTGTGATTCCATTACTGTAACATTCTTGAAATAACAAAATTAAAGAGATAAACAGCTTGGTGGTTTCCAGGGGTCAGAGCAGTGGGAGGTGGGGGTAAAGGGTCAGAATGCAAGTGTGGTTATGACAAGGGATCCTCAGTGTTGTTCTACTGTCCAGTGTCTTGACAATGGAGGTGATCACACAAATATACATGCAATAAAATTGCATTGAACTAGATATAAATGAACACAAATGGGCCTCCCTTGTGGCACAAGGGGTTAAGCACTGTACTATGAAGCAATCTGCAGCCTCTGCAGCATGAGTTCCATCCCCGGCTGGCCAGGGAGCAACTCACATGGTGCTGCAGACCTCTCCTGACTTGCCTGCAGTGTATTCAGTCTGCCTGTTCTGTTCCCCACTCTGTCTCTGGTGAATCCTCTCACCCTCCCCATCTCTGGCCTGTATCCCAGCTCTTGTATGCATAAATAAATAAATCTTTAAAAAAAAAACCATGAACACAAATGAGTTCATTTGTAAAATCAGTGAAATCTAAGCAAGCCTAGTGGATTAAATTTATATTGATTTCCTGGTTATGATGTTGCAAGATGTTAACACTGGGGGAAGCTGGGTGAGGCATACATGGGATCCTCTATATATTATTTTTTATCATTGCCTGTGAATCTACAATTATTTCAAATTAAATCTTTAATTACAAGTGAATCTAGATAATTCTTGACTAGATAACTCTGTGCATCCTCAATGGGGTATATTTTAAGGAAGAAAAAAAAATAGATGTACTCAAAATTTATCCTAAGGGACAAAGTTAAAGAATGAAAAGATTTAGCTATGCAGATGAATTTTGTAGCATTTAAAAATAAATGCAAAAAAGGAAGTGATGCTAACTGCATAATAACAGGGAAGTGTTTAAATATGGCATATCTACACAATTGAATACTATATTAAAATATTGTATGAAAATTAAGGCATACAGTATACTTATGGCTAATGAACAATTACATGGCAGACTGTAAGTAGGGAAAAGTCTGATCATAAAAGAATATCTACAGTATGAATAAGCTTTTATTTAAAAACACATTTATATGTAAATATATATTTGAAAGAAACACACCAGAAGTTTAGTGATATCTTTGGGACATATAAATGCTTAGTTTTCTTTTGGTTTCATGGTGTTTTCCAATTTTCTAAACTCTTCTTTTAAAATATGGCTATGGGTTTATTGCTGTATTCTCAATGTAGGACATACCATTTGACTCATAATGGTTCTAAGTAAATGCATATTTGACTATATGAAAAAATATAAACTGTTACAAAAAACAAGGTAAAAACAATCCAATTAATTTGGGTTATTTTAAAAGTTCAAGATAATTTGTAATCGCCATGGAGGACCCAGATATAACTGACCCTTTATTTACTCTTTAACTCTACAAAACAGCATGAATTCAGTTGCAGGGCTTTATAGGTGAGATTTTATGTGGTCACTAAGGTCTCCCTTTGCACTTACTACAGACCATTTGCTTCTTCTACCAATGATCTTATAATCAGCTTTAAAGATGTAGCTCATAGAAAGGATCATGCTCAGAGAAATAAGTCAGAAAGAAAAAGAAAAATACCGATGGTCTCACTCATAGCAGGAATTTAGAAAACCTAAATAAGGGACCAGGAAAAAGACTAATTAATACAAAGTGAAAATCAAAATCAACAAGCAACTATAAACCAGAGGGCGGGGAGGGGGGAGGGGCGAGGAAGGATTAGGGTCAAAATAAGGGGGAGTGCAATTGTATGGGGAATATAACCAAAATGAAAATGCATACATTGTGCAAAAATGAAAAATGATGTAAGAATTATATAAAATAAAATATTAAAAAATAAAGATGTAGCTCAGATGTACTTAGTTACCCACTTTGTATCAGAGACTATTATTAAAGTGAACACAGATAAGAGTCTAGAGCCAAATATTAGAAAGTGCTTAAACTTCAGTCACTGATTGTTCTGCATCTACATTATTACACTTTTAAAGCTTTCAGGCATCACAATGTATTCTTTCAAAGGCTGCTTTTTCTAAATTTTTTAATCCATCTTTTCAAACCCTTATATAAAGAAGACCAGACATTTCACCCATAATGTTCAAAACAACAGGCAGCCACAAATAAGATTTGAGCTGGACCAGGTCTTCTCGGACTAAAACATCTTTCCTCTCCAGCTCCCCCTAGTGTCCCCTTCTACAGTAACTGAATTTCTCACCGTTAAAACTCAGGTTAGCAAGTAAGATCCTTCTCCATAGAAGTTGCTCAAGCACACGTCCCCTGCCCAGTCCTTTCTCCTTAGTACACCAGCTGGGATTTGAGATGTTAGGTAGTCACTGAGAGCATCGGGGCAGCTTTGGGAGCTGCGTGGACTTAAAGTCAGGGGGAGGGCTGACTAGTGGATGAAGGGTTAACCAGCGCACTGTTACTCATCCTTCCCGACCTGGTGAGGAAGCATTTGGTTCCTTTTAGGTGCTGGAAAAACCCATCTTACTCCCTGATACTTGGAGCAAGGAAGTGACTCTCGGGATCTGGGGCAGGAGAGGCTGTCTAGGATCCTCGTGCTTGGCCCTAGCCAGGGCTCTGCCTTCCAAGTGCCACCCGTGTTTCCCTCTCCCTGGACGCACCACTCGCCCCTGGCATTCTTAAACCACCCAGCTCAGACATGCTCGCAGTCTCACCATTGAAGCCGATCACGGCTTCAAGTTCCAACTCAGCTATGTCGGTCTTGGGGGAAATTTGGTCCTCCATCAGCAGGAGAGTTCCTTTCCTCTCTGCCTCCAGCGAGGCAGCGTCTTCTGGTCGTTATGGTAACGGATTGCACATGCGCGCTAGATCCACACCCGCCCCGAGAATCTCTGCCCTCTTAATGGAGCAGAAAAGGTTTTTTTCCCCCTTTCTATTGCTTTGGAAAATTACGGGGCACCAACTTCCCTGCCTCCACTCCGTAGAGAGTCTATGACTCTTGGGCCTCCCTGGTGGCGCAAGGGATTAAGACGCAACCTATGAAGTTATTCACAGTCACTGCAGCACGAGTTCGATCCCTGGCCAAGGAGATACCCACATAGTGCAGCAGACCTCTCCTGTCTCGCCCGCTACTCCCCTCAGCAGTGTATTTCAGTCAGTCTGACTGTTCTGCTCCCCCACTGTCTCTGGTGAGCCCTCTCACCACACCCCCCATACCTCTGGCCTGTACCCCAGTTCTTGTATGCATAAATAAATAAATCTTTTTTTTTTTTTAAAGAGCCTGTGACCCTTTTGGTAACTATATAATCAAGCATAATAAATAAATTACATTTAAAAATTAATCAGAGAATTTCCTCGGATGAAGCCGTCTATAAAGTAATAAATAATTAGTATTGGGCCCCTTGTTTGAAGCAGGATTTAAAAAAAAGTTTTTCAAACTTTAATGAGGTGAAATTCACATATTTTACTTGTGCAGTTATCACCACAACCCCGTATTTTGTTTGTTGTTTTGGTTTTAAGCAGGATCAAATTTTAATAATTGCTAAGGATTTTGAGGTGCTCTCATTTTCTGGGAAAATGCTTAGACTTCGTTCAGCAACAATTTCGTTTTAATTGCACCAAAATGTTTGCGTCTCGAAGCTGGAGTAGATTTCTCCAACCGACTGTACTCTAGGTGAGTGCTTTCCTTTTTTAAAATCATAGTTTTGCAGCCCTAATGTAGAATGGCTTTGCAAACTCCAGGTTCCGGGCGCGCACGGGCCGAGGCACGGCGAATGGGCCCCGCCGGCCGCCGTAGTCAGCTGCCGCGAGCAGGAAGTGTCCGAGGAGGGGCGGAGACTGCAGGATGGCACCAGACCCCTGGTGAGCCCCGGGTGAGGGTGACTGCGCGCGCGGAGACCCGGGGGGAGGCCGGGCTTCAGGGAAGCTGGTGGTCGTTAGGCTTTGAAGCTGGAGGCCTTTCTGGTTGAGGGGGGGAGGGGCAACGAGGATCCTTTCCTTGCTGAGGAGCGGGGCGCAGGTGGGTGCAGGGGAACTCGGCTGCATTCCCACTACCTTTGGTCCTCGCAGGGGTGACCCGGGCAGGAGGCCGGGTGGACCTCTGGGAAGCGAGGACTCGTGCCCATCCTCTAACCTTCCTTGCGAGCTGCGTCTCATCTCGGCTATTTCCCGCCCATCCTGGTTGTGGAGTAGGCTGGTGCAGGCTTCCTGGAGCCTGTGAAAGTGAAGTAACCTTTTTTGTGGAATGCCAGTCCATCCCGAGAACCCCTTGTTTCCCAGGGGAGAAATCGAGATTTAGAATCCCTGGTCATCAGCCAGTTAGTAATTAGTTGACTCCAGATCTTAAGGACCCTTCAAAAAACTTGTAGGAATCTCAATGGGAAATTATGTATTTGTTTATAAGGCGTTTTACTCCCACCAGGTGCGGCAGCAACTTACACGCAGTAAACAGTAGCTGATAAGAGTAATTTATTCAGCAATTAACATCCAAGGACTGAATGGTGAAAGATACAAGTTCTGATCTCCGGGAACATAGTGCTATAGTTTATAGGACTGTTACGTTCTTGTTGGAGTGTATGTGTTATGTTTTGATTTTTAATATGGTTTATAATTGTTTAAGTTGCAGACAGTCTGGATAATAGGAGAATGGATTGCACGATTAAAGTTAGTCCTGCTTGGCAGCTAGCTTATCTGAGCCAATGGCTTGACTGAATGAACACTAATTTTTTGTCCACCTACTTTTAACAATAACATACTCTTTGAGAGAAAACTTACAAAGTTTTTGCTGAGAAAGAAGAAACCCCAAATCTTTTGAACTCCATCATTTGGAATAATAACCATAATTGATTTCTAAAATGAATTTATGATTTTAATCTGTGCAATATATATACTATATATACATGCATAATGTATATAGTTCTATAAAATGGGGAATAGTTTTCATTAGTGTTAAATATTTACTGAAAACACACTTTTTTGTGATACATGATAGTAGATTATACAAATGACCATAATTTAATTATTCCCCTCTTTGTAATTTTAGGGTTTTTTTGTTTATGTATTTTTTTTTTAAACAAATGCAAAGACTGCCCCTTAGTTCCATCTCATTTCCTAAGCTAACTTCCCCAAAGTAGAACCACTCGGTTCAAGGGGAGGCACATTTTTAAGGTCTTTGGTACTTGCTGAGTCACCCTTCACCTGCTGGAAGCAAACTCCCCCACTTTACACAGCTTTAGAAAATAAAGAGATAAGGGAGAGCTCCCAGGTTATCCATTATTCAGATTGGTGGAGGCTATCACTGAACCCCAAGTCTCTTTCAGTTAAGGTTGACAAAGCACTTGTAATTTTTCCTGTTACTCCCAAGGAGTTTGACTCAGTGGCTTTCTCACTTGTTGAAAGTAAACAATGGGGAAAACTCCATTCTACTAGCAAAGTGGGTTGCTGATCAGAAGGGTAGAAAGGATAATGGAATGGGAGTTGAAAAACCTATAAAAAACAGGCTCCACTATGGCTTTGCCTCCGTGCTATTGAAAATCATAGGTCAGTGGTGCTTTACTGCTGAGTAGTATTCTAATATTTAAAACTGGAATATATAAAAATTACTATTTTAATCACATATCAAAGCTCACTGTTTAATAGAAGAAGCATATGATTGTCTCTGAGTGATTCTTTGCTAAAGTTGATTAACTTTACTGCTAGTGCAACTTATTTGTTGATGATAAACTTTCTGGGAAAAATACAGTTAAGCTTTAATAGTTTTATATTCTGGTTGGTCTTTTATTTTTGCAAACTTTTTAATACAAAACAAAGGAATTAGTGGACCCTGGGGTTTTTTTTTGTTATTAAATTTTTTTTTACCACAAAAGGTAAAAAATATAAAGTGATACAGTAAAGTGAGCCCTATATCCTTATCACCCAATTTCTGTAATTACCAACATTTTGCCATTCTTATTTCATCAATGCCCTTTACATCTTTTTTTTTTTTTGTATACAAGAACTGGGGTGTAGACCAGAGATGTGGGGGATGAGTGGATTCACCAGAGACAGAGTGGGGAGCAGAACAGGTGATTTACTGAAATACACTGCTAAGGGGAACAGCGGTGGAGACAGGAGAGGTCAGCTGCGCCGTATGGGTTATCACCCTGGCCAGGGATTGAACTCAGACCTTACTGGTGATAGCACTGAGACTTAACCCCTAGGTCACCAGGGAGGCCCCTCTATACCTTTTTATACTGCATATATTTTAAAGTAAATCTTATACATATGTCAGTTGAACTGTACACTCTGATTTGTACTAGAATAGAGGCCTAATTCTGTCAGGATTCTTCTTTGATGCCCCTTATCTTAGTTCTTAGGTCTCCTTCATGGTTTCTTATCCTCTTAGTCACTTGGGCCTGAAAACTGCTCATCTGCTTTTTTCTCATTTGTCATATCAGATTATTCACTGATCTCCTTTGGGATTTTCTTTTAACTATCTCTTTTTTGCTCTCCATTTGTACCGCAGCTCAATCCTTTATAGCCTCATGCCTTACAGTTAGTAAACACTGGTGACTGGTGGTGGAGTTGAGTAGCTGAAAAGTCTTCTGTTGACCTCTTGACATTCTTCCCTCATTCCCAACTATTTATGTAAACGGAGTTCGGATTAGTTTTCCTAAACTAGTAGTTTAGGTGTTGTGTGCTGGATTCCACACTGAGGCTGCTGAGTCCTGTTAGACCAGTGGTTCACACCCTGCTACAGATTGGAATCACCTGGGAGCTTTCAAAACTCATGTTCAGGTCAAATCACATGCCAATGTAACCAGAATGCTTGGGAGTGGGAGTCTAGAATTTTTTTTCTTTCTTTCTTTCTTTTTTTTTTTAAGATTCCCTAGTTATTCCAATATATGGCAAAGTTTTGGAACCACTGCTCAAAGTGAGAACATGAGGATTGGGGGTAAGACCTTTGGGATTTGTCCTATGCGCCTTTCAGCAGTTCACCTAACCTCTTTAAGGCCTCACTCCATGTGTAAATGTATCCTCTGCAGATTTAAAACTGTCTTACAAGTCTGAGCTTACTGGGCTGGTGTTCAAGACCCTGTAGAAACTAGCTTCTAATCCTTTATCATTTTAAACTTTGCCCTCCTGCCCACTGCCATCTCTCAGCAGAACTGCCAGGCACATTTTATTCCTTTCATCTTTGCTGGCTCCTTGAGCCTTTCCCCATGTCTAGAATGTTGGCAAGAGAGGTCTGATTTAACCTTGTGGCTTAGCCCAAGAGGAAACTTGTCAGCCTGAGTGCTTCCAGGTATACCATACATTTGGCAGGAGGTGTATTGTGCCTTATTGATTTTCATATGTGTGGTCTGTGTCACAGCCAGACTTAGGCTCTTCTTTTCACAGATGACAGACAGTATGGAGGAGAAAAGGGGAAATGTGGCAAAGCTGGGATCAGGACCCAATTTTCCCTCTTAGTCTCCTTCCTATTTCCTTGACTACTCTTTAGGAACAGACTTTCTGATAGGAGAGAGAAAATGTGTACATATGCTTTAAGTATTTTCTATAAAACACAGGAAAAGAAAGTAAAAAAATAAAGGACTATTTGGAATTTGCTGTGAATCCTACAAATCCCCCAACATTTTTGAGTAACAAATAGAAGATCCATAATTGTTTGGATAATATTCAGGTAAGCTTAGATGCCAAGTGAATGCATGGCCTTTGTTCCCAGGGCATTTTGTTGTGGAATAAACAGCCCTTGCAGTACCTGTTCCTTGAAGCTCTTCTCCAGATAATGTGCCTGGCTGGCTTCCTCACCTTGCCTGCCATCCTGACCTGTGGAGCTTTGTGCTGATCTATTCCATTAACAGCCTTTCCTACTGTCCCTGTACAAAATATTGAAAAGTGCTGTTTGGCCAAATGTCCCAATTTTTGCTTGAAAAAATAAACAATTCAGGTCTTAAAATCTGCTTTATTTTTCTTCTTAGCACTTATCAACACCTGACATACTCTGTGTGTATTTGTTTTATGCCTTTCTCCCTTCCTTTAGCTCCTGGAAAGCAGGAACTTTGCCCATTTTGTTCACTGCTATCATCTGCAGTGCCAGGAATAGTTCTCAGGGGGCCCTCCATCAACACTGAATGTTTTGTACATGAAGGAATACAAACACCTTATCACTGCCACAATTGCAGAGTTGTTAAGAGCACAGGCTTTGAGGTAGACAGCCTTGTTTTGCAGCTGGTAGTACCACTTGGGCAAGTCACTGTGCCTCTTGGTGCATGTAAGTTGGAGATGGTAATGGTACCCACCTCCTAGTGTTCTTGTGTGGAGTAAGTGAGATAGTCTCAACTAAAGCACTCAGAAGAGCACCTGGCTCAGAGAGAGTACCATTCAACACTTGATGTGGTCGCTATGTGTTACCCTTATCTTCCCTCCCTGTTTCAATCTGTGACTAGAATTAAAAACTCAAACTTAGATAAAGCAGAATTTTTTTTTAAAGACCGTTAAACATTTTTCTCTTATGACTTTGACACAGGTTTACCACATATGATTCTACTTGCCATATCGCACAAGACATTGCTGAGAAAATTCAAGAACGAATTCGGTATGAAAGGAATGGTGAAAATACAGCCAAGGTAAGACCAGGGGAGAATTTATACTTCAAATAATTTGACTTTTGAGAACTGGAAACCCTCCTATTTCTGAAGGTGTGTGTGTAATGACATATATGCTTACATATATTGAATTGACATTATAGGTAACCAGTAAATGTTGATTTATTTTTATTTTTTCTCAAGAGCAATAAACATGAATACCCTATCAGACTTAAAATTATTACTTATTGATTCTATTAACTTACAAAGTATATTTGTTGCAAAGTTTATTCTCCTATTTATTATTTATTTCCTAGCACCTACTGCCTTGGCAGAATGACCAGACCTTCTGTTCCCTCCCTTAATCTCCCTTAGTTCCCCCCCTTAGTCTCAGAAACCTGGTTATGGTTATGGTTATCAGTGTCCGATAGTTTATAATTATATTATTTCGCCCGTTCATACACTTTGATTCCTCATTTTACTCATATGTATCCAATACTTGCCTTTCTCTTTCTGACTTATTTGCTAAGAGTAATTCATTGGGCTCCTTCCATTTATGTTTCATCTTTCCTTACAGCTGGGTAGTATTACATTGTGGTGGACATATCACACTTTCTTTATCCAGTTCTTTATAGTGGACACTTAGATTGCTTCCAGATCCTAGCTATTGTAAATAACGCTGCAATTAGTATTGGGGAGCATAGATTTTTTGAGTTGATGGTCTCATATTCTTCAGATAGATACCCAAAAGTGGGATTGCTGGATCATGATGCTGTGTTTCCATTTTTGTTTTTTAAGGTGAGGTCAGACTGCTTTCTGAAATGGCTGCACCAGTTTACATTTCCACCAGCAATGTATGAGGATTTTTCTTTCTCCACATCTTCTAACGCATTTGTTGTATAGGTCCTTTTTTTAAAAATAGATTCATTTAGTTGTGCATACAAGAGCTGGGGCACAGGCCAGAGATGTGGGGGTGAGAGGAGTCACCAGAGAGAGTGGGAAACAGAACAGGCAGACTGACTGAAATACACTGCTGAGGGGAGCAGCGGGCGAGACAGGAGAGGTCTGCTTGGCCATGTGGGTTGATCCCTGGCGGGACGGGGATGGAACTTGTGTTGCAGAGGCTTCAGATTGCTTCATAGTGCAGTGCTTAATCCCTTGTGCCACCAGGGAGCCCTGTTATAGGTCCTTTTTAATGTATGGTTATTCTCATGGTGTGAAATGATACCTCATTGGAGATAATCAATTGGTGACTTGACAGCTCCATTATTAATATGATGATGAGCATATTTTCATACATATTGGCCTTCTGAGTATCCTCTTTGGTAAATTGTCTTTTCAGATCTGCTATCTATTCTTTTATTGGGCTGCTTGATTTTTGTTCAGTTGAGTATGTCCTTTGTTCTTGGATATTAACCCCTTGTCAGCTGTGTGATGTGTGAATATCTTCTCTCATCCAGTAGGATGTCTTTTAATTTACTAATATTTTCTTTTGCTATGTAGAGGTCTTTTAATTCGAGGCAGCTCCCATTGTTTATTTTTGCTTTCATTTCCCTGCTGTAGAGGTTGCATACTTGAAGACATCTCTATTATCGATATTTTGAAGTGTGTTGATGATAATTTCTCCTGTGCATTTTATTGTTACTGGTCTTATATCTAAATCTTTAAACCACTTTGAATTTATTTTTGGGCATTGAATTAGAGTAATTCAACTTCATTCTTTTACATGTGTCTGTTCAGTTTTTCTAGCACCATTTATTAAAGGGACTGAACTTTCTCCATGATTGTGGCTTATTTGTATAATTAGATATTGAGAAATATGTGGATTTATTTCTGGGCTCTTTGATTCTGTTTCATTGATTTGTGTGTCTGTTTTTATTCCAGTGCCTTATTTAACTCCTGTTGCTTTATAATATAGTTTAAAATTTGATAATGTGATGCCTCCATTTTCTCTTCAGGAGTACTTTAGCTGTTGAGGGTCTTTTATGTTCCATATTAATTTTGGTATTTTTGTTCTGTCTTCTTGAAGAATATCATTGGAATTTTAACAGGGGTTGCTTATGTGTTGCTTTTTGGCAAAATAGTCATTTTGACTATACTAATTCTCCCCATTCTTGAGCATGGGATCTTTCCACCTCCTTTATGTCTTGTTCTGTATCTTTTAATAGTGTCTTAGTGTTTTTGTTCTTAAGTCCATCACTTCCTTAGTTAGGTAATTCCTAGGCATTCCAGTCTTTTGGTATTATTGTAAATGGATTATTTTCTTGATTTCTTTTCTCCTTTGTATATAAAAATGCAACAGATTTTGTATATTAATTTTGTAACCGGCCACTTTACTGTATTAATTTCTTATTTCTAATAGTTTTTTTGGTGAGTCTTTAGGGTTTTCTATTTATAATATATCATCTGCAAGTAATGATAGTTTCACTTCTTTTCCAATCTGAGTTCTTTTTATTTCTTGTCTGATGGCTGTAGCTTAAACCTTTAATACCAGATTAAACAGATAGTGGGCATCCTTGCCTTGCTTTTGATCTTGAAGGGAAAGCTTTCAGTTTTCACTGTTAAGGTTACTATTGCTGTGGTTTGTGATTTTAGGCTTTTATTATGTTGAGGTAGGTAACTCTCCCCATCTTATTAGGAATTTTATCATTAATGGGTACTATATGCTATCAAATGCTTTCTTGCATGTATTGAGAGCAGATGGGTTTTATTCTTTTATTGATGTAGTGTATCATATCATTGATTTATGCATGTTAAAACATCTTTTTTTCTCATCCCTGGAATAAATCCCACTTGGTCATGGTATATGATCTTTGTAATGTATTGTTGAATTTGATTTATGTATTGTTGAATTGAGAATTTTTGCATCAACATTCAACAGAGATTTGGCCTATAGTGCTGTCATTGTTTGGTTATGGTATTGGTAATGTCATCATAGACTATGTTAGGAAGTATTCCTTCTTCTTGGATTTTTTCAAAATTTTGAGTAAAGTGGGCATAAATTCTTCTTGAAAGGTTTGGCTAATTTACTTGTAAAGACATCTAATCCTGGGCTTTTGTTTTGGGGAGAATTGTGATTGTGATTTAATATTTATTATTTCTTTACTTCTACTAACTTTTAGTTGTGCTTGTTCTTTTTCAAATGGTTTAGATGTAATGTTAAATTGTTTATTTGGGATTTTTCTTGCTTCTTGTAAACTTGTATTGCAGTTAATTTCCCTCTTAAAAAACCTTTTTGCTGTGTCCCATAAGTTCTGACAGTTTGTGTCCTTGTTCATTAGTCTCCAAGCATTTTAAATTTCTGCTTTAATTTATTCTTTAACCCAGTGGTATGGTATGGAGCAGCATGTTGTTTAATCTCCACTTGTTTTAGTTTTACCATTTTATGTGGTCGATTTCTGCTTTATGGCATTGTGATCGGAAAGAATGCTTGATATGGGCCTCCCTGGTGGCGCAGCGGTTGAGCACTGGGTTGCAAGCTGCCCGCAGCCTCTGTGGCGCCGTTCGATCCCCGGCTACTCCCTGGCCACCGGAGGAAGGTCCGCAGACCTCTCCTGCTACCCGCTGCTCCCCTCAGCAGTGTGCTTCGGTCCTTCTGCCTCCTCTGCTCCTGCTCTGGCTCTGGTGGATTCTCTCACCCTCCTGCGCTTCTGACTGTACCCAGTGCTTGTATAAATAAATAAATTAATTAAAATAAAAATAAATCTTTAAAAAAAAATGCTTGATATGATTTTAGTCTTAGTAAGTTGACAATTAACTTGTGTCCCAATATCTATTCTTGAGAATATACCATGAGCACTTGAGAAAATGTTTTTTTTTTTTTAAAGATTTATTTATTCATGCATACAAGAACTGGGGTATAGGCCAGATGTGCGGAGGTAAGAGGATTCACCAGAGACAGAGTGGGAAGCAGGGTAGGTGGCTTTACTGAAATATACTGCTAAGGGAGCAGTGGGTGAGACAGGAGAGGTCTGCTGCACCATATGTGGTTAGCCCCTGACTGGGGATCAAATTCAGGCAGTAGAGGTGATAGTGCTGAGACTTAACCCTAGCCACCAGGAAGGCCCCCAGTTATTATTTTTTTAAGTAACATTTTTATGGCTTTCTCTCTTGTCTCCTTATGGGACTCCCTTCCCCTGTGATACGGAAATTTCTCTTTAAATTATCCCAAATAATCCTATATATTTTTTAAAAGATTTATTTATTTATACAAGCCTGGGTACAATCAGAAGCGTGGGAAGGTGAGAGAATTCACCAGAGCCAGAGTGGAGCAAAACAGGCAGACAGATGAAGCACGCTGCTGAGGGAGCAGTGGAGAAAGGGGGGGGGTGGTCTGTGCGCCATGTGGGACCCTCGGCTGGTGGCCGGATCGAGCCAGCGCTACGGAGGCTGCGGGCAGCCTCGCAACCCAGCGCTCAACTGCTGCGCACCGGGGAGGCCCTCCTATATTGCTTTAAATCTTTTGATGCTTCTTTTTGCTTGTTTTGTGTGTTTTCTACCACTGTGCGTTCAAATATCTGTGTCTCAACTATTCTGGCCCTCTATTGTATTACTCTAATTTTAGTTATGATATTTTTTAAGTTTATTAATTATGTCTGAAGCATTTTTATATTTCCTCTATTCTTACTGTATTTCTGGCATTTGTTTATCTATTCTTATTTTGACAAGCACGCTTATAGCTGTTACCTTAAGCTCCTCATAAGTTAGGTACACAGTTCTGTTGGATTGAGATATCACTCAGGTTTTTCAGGGTTTTTTCTTTCTTTTTTTTTTTTTTGTCATTTGTGGTATGTTCCTCTGTTTTGTTCGTTTTTGTTTTTGTGGGTTGGGTCAGGGAACTTTCTTTTCTTGTCTGATTCTTTTCTTGAATTGGTTCATTGCTAGAAGCCTCTACCTGTTTAGATGACCTAAGCACTAGTGCCAGGAGTGTGCAAGAGATAGGAACCAGAGCAGCAGGATATATCCGGTGGTTGCTGCTAGTGAGTACCAATGGTTCAAGTCTCCTAAGGTGCTGCTGTGCCTGAGATGGATTGGGGGTAGGG